GTTTACTACTAATGGCCTATCAGCAATCCAGTGAATAAATAAGAGATCAGTGTGCATGGCTGCTAAACATGCACTATTTAGGTGTTAACTTGAGGAGTTAATTGAGAGTACAGATTTACAAACAGAACTACATAAATTGAATTCTGCATCCCTTTCACCAATAAACAGTGTAAAATTTACACTGTAAATGGTCCCAGACCGGACTCTGGCTTGGCTCATGTTCTGTACTAGAACCACTCTGGCATTACTTATCTTGCAAAATCCAGTGAGGATCCACTTAAGAATTAAGAGTGTGGCCCTCTAGTGGAAGGCTTTAACTGTACAAGATTGACTAACCCTTTGTTTCGGCATCGCATCAACCCTTTCCTAAGTCAAAGTAGAAAACCCATTAGTTTAGAACTGCCTTTGACAGTTAAAATTAAACTGATGTATCAATAGTTTAACCTTTTGTATTTGCTTTACTAACTGCTTTTATCATGTTATCTTTATTAGCTTTTATTCTGCTTTTATTTTCCTTGTAATTCAATGTTAAAATAAATAAACTTGCATTGTGTAAACCCACCAGCCCCATTGTGATAAAAAGGAGGTGGCAGCTTTATACTGTGGAAATGTTCATTACGAAGAAAAATACTTTTTGACAAGCATTGATTTTTTTTTTTTAAATGTTGATAAAATACTTTGAAGTGTTGGTGGAAAACATGAAATAGTGCAAAGGAGGGCAACCTTTATTAAGCAATATATCCATTAAAGTTTTAACGTTAAAGTTTTTTGAATGAATAAAAAATACATATTAAACAGTTAACTGTTAAATCTTATGTTCACAGGGCTCATATTTCTCTCTCAGCAGAGGTTAAATTGAAGCACCAAGGCCCAGGCTAATTGTGATCTAATTAAAATTACATTTCTGAGCAAAGACGGCGTTGCTGAATGTCAGACAAATGTCTAAAGAGACGTTTATACTCCACTGGGGTAAAAACGGCTCTTTGCTTATTCTGCTCCTACATTCTGTGCTTTCAGCTTTTACACATGCACGCCACTAATTGAATCTGCAGAGAACAAAAGATGAATACTAATCAGAAATAAAATTTCAATCAGCTAGAAAGTATGATGGACATGATTTGATCCACTTTTCTTACTTTAAATTAGTCACAAAGAAGCAAAATACTGTTGATTGATGCGTTTTCTTTTTTCACTTTTTGTACCGCAAGTTTCTTTCAGTAATTACAAAGAGAGAACAGCTGCAAAAGGTCAGGAAGTCGGTGTACTTCGAATCAAGTGAAAAAATCTCTACCTTGTCTTTTTTTGCACAATGTGATGATGTTTAATCTGATATTTGATTGTTTTTTTTTATGGGCCAAGTGAAACACTGTTGGCAACAGATTTTCTTTGGGATCAGATGAAAGGTGGACACCGATCAGCACCAGTTATAAGAGAAAAAACATGCCTTCAGATTAGACACCTCGCTTTGAGCTCACATCCAAACAAAACATGAAAATTCAAGAATCAAAATCAGAAATTAACACTGCAGCTATAACCATTGTGAGAAGGAGGAGTCATGTTCAGTGAAGGATCTAGGCTGTCCTGCTGGTAAAGCAAAAGGCTTTACAGTTGCATGATATACCCTGATGCTGTGAAAACTGGCAAGATAAAAACCATTTGGACTGCTCAAAGAAAAGCTCAACTTCAATAAGAGCTTCCTGTCACACACCACAGGTCCCATCATTGGTTCCTTATACCTCCTGTGGAGCAAGGTTTCAATGCAACCATGATGCACCCAAGCCAGCATTCTCCTTTCATCAGCATTCATCACAGCATAGCACTTATTGTAGAGGAGGAAGGCAATGTATGCATAGAGCAGGCTGCCAAACCATCTATCAAGGACAGCCAACTAGGGAGGGAGGATACACAGTTGCATAGACAGTAGGACTGCAGGACACACGTATGGATTGATGTTTTCAGTCTTGTTTTCTTATTCATCTGAGAAGAACATTAAAAAACTTCCCAAGCTCCAAGTAAAAAATGGATTTAACTAAAAAAAAAACTGAGGGCTCCTGAACTATTGCTCCTGATACATCTGAGCCTCAGCTGTCTGAGTAAACACAGAAAAAATGACTAACTAAATATCACAAAATACCTCAGGACAATATTAAGCTTTTCCATAAACCCTCTTCGTGACACACTCACCCTTTTTACAAAGTTATGTAACTCTAGTCCCATTCAAGTTCACTGATGCTTGTCAATGAAGGTTAATTTAGTCCCATGATGCACATCCCAAAGAGGAGTGGAAGTGAAGCATGGTAGAAACATCTCTCCTGAATAGATACCCCACACTGAGTATAAAAACTTCAACTATTATCTTTAGTGGCAGAAGAAGGCAAGTCTGTGCAAATCAGAATGCCTGCAACCAACAAAGCAGACAATATAGCACAACGGCACAATCAAATAGAACTTTGGTTTGACAGCAGAGGTGCTTACCTGATGAAGAAGGACGCAGCTGTAGATGAGGAAGGAGAGGCTGATGCACTGGTTATGGGTACAGGAAGACCCGCATGGCTGGGGCCTTTCAGTCTGCAGGGTGTTAAAGATGTGGTGGTGGTGTAGGTCCTGGTGGTCTCTGTCAAGGTGGTGATTGGGTTCTCCAAGGTTGTGACATCACTTTCTGCTTCTCCCATCAAACTTTGAGCCTGTTAATAAACAGATAAAGAGATAAGACCACAACCTGAGCTCATGGCAGTCCTGCTTACCTTATTTCCACTCCATTTGCTCCCCCCTCTGCCCTCCTTTGCCACAGATGGATGGGCAGCTGCTGCAAACTGTAAGGGTTAGTGGCAGTCAGCAGTATCCACAGCAGAGAGCTCCCTACAGAACAACAGGGATGCTGCACCATTCATTGATTCTGGCACCACTCACAAGGTTGCTCTGGATGTAACATACTGTAATTAAGCAATAACCCGCATTTAATTAGCAATTAAATCACTAGTGATTTAGCTCACTCTGCACTCCTGATTATATCTATACCTTCATGGCCAATTTGGCACTCATGCAGGTTGAATCAGAATGGCTGTGAGTGAGTTTTAAAGAGGGTAAAATGACCTGTGATTTGTGCATAGTTTGAATAACTAGGAGGTGTCTGAGCTGTGCATACTGTACATGACGCACCCTGCTCGGAAAGCAGGCAACAGAACAGGAATAAAGTAAGGTGTACCACAACTGATAGAGCCCTGGAGCAACGATACTTCATGCTGAACATGTAGTTCACTCACTGTAAAGGTAGCAATGCTGTGAATGCAGTAGCTGTCTACATATTTAAAACAAATATCCTGAAGGAAACAACCAACATACCCTGAAAGTTCAAAAGATTTAAAGTTTGACAAAAAGATTTTACATTTATTGTACTTCTTTTAGTGTATAATGGCATAAATACTGCAATGCATTGACCTTGGCTAAAATTACATAAAATGTTTCTTATATAACACTAGAAATGCTGAAATATCACATATTAGGTGCTACATTGTGGTCTATTTCAAATAGTTGTTGAACCAGTTAAATCTTTTTAAATAAAAGAAGAAGCTGTATTCTCAGTGTAAAACATGGAGTGAAATTGTATTTAGCAGGGACTTGTCACAGCATCGATGTCGGTTAGATATAATTAACTATCTATAGTTCATTTTAATATTACTATAAATAATTGGAAAGAAACCACCAATAAAATCTTTCATCCGTGCAGCTCAACATAATTGACTTTAAGGCACCTGAACAAGTGCGGCACAAAATAATTAAAACTGCTAAATTGACCAGCTACAATAAAGACTGTAGGAAAAAGGGCAGCTGAGGCTTTTAAAGCTAAGGCAGTTAGCCGGTTCCACTGGTGATGTTTTGCATTTTTCAGACATTGAATATACATGGATGAGAAAGCAGTTAATATAACACTGCTCCAAAGTTGTAAAAGACCAAGCAAATGAAAACAGTGTTGACATCTTACACGCTCTTAAATAGTTTAGTGAGCAGCATGAGCAGGATGAATGTAACCATGGAACCATCAGTTTCTGTGTGGATTTACTGTAGAGATAATGGCCTCTTTACTTAACTATGGCACAAAGAAAAACATTTAAAAATAGAATTTGGCTTTTTTTATGGATAAAACTTTGCTTTATTAAGTTAATGTTCCTGCTTAGATAGAAAACTGTTATCTCTCTAGGCAACAAAAATAACAATAAAGAATATTTTTAGGACGACCTTTTGCTATTTATGGATATGGTCATTTCTGATCTTTATAAAAATGTTTTTTGCTTAAAACCACCATCAAGGATAACTTTAGCCCATTATAGTTATCAGTCAGCTGTGTTCGTCATAACTGCAACAGCATAATTCCCAACAGAGCCCCAATTTCCTTGTGCAGTACAACCTTAAATAGTTTTTTTGTTATTTATTCATCATCTGTCTTTGTTTATTCATCTGTCCAGGTATTAATAACAGATAATGCTTGGTGTGAAGCAACAACGTAACCAATTAACCAATGCTGTGTCTGTGTGCTGTGCCAATGTAGGTCTACTGAAATTTGCTCGCACACTGTCAGGAACAACCCTTCCTTAGCAACAAAAAATACTTCCTTCAAGATCCTTACTTTAAATTTATAAAATTAGTACTAAATTATTACAGTGACTGACAGCTGCTCAATTAAAAAAATTTAAATATATGAGAGAATTTCATAGAAAGATTACCATGTAGTTTAAGCCAGATAAAGCTTTTCTGTTTGAAACTGTGACATGGAATGTAACAAGCAATGATCCAAACACAGATCCCTTCACTGCTTCCAGGGTTGAAAGCTCTCACACCAAAGCTGGAGTTGGTGACAAGTTGGGAATTCAATGCATACCAAAGAAGTAGACCCATTACACTCTGGCATGAAAGACTAGAGCATTTCACACGCAGACGTACAGGAAGTTAGTGCGAAGCTCATCACATCTGCTGCTGATTGACTCGTAGGAGTGTCTGTTTTAAATAGAGTGGCAGCCAATTTAAGGAGGACACACAGACAGTCAGGCACAGGTGGAGCAGTTGTGCGTGCTCCAAGTGGGTAAAATGCAGACTCAACACACGCACACACATTTAAGCTTGGGCTGAGTGCCTAACTGAGTTTTCCCTTTGGTATCAATACGAGACTTAAGCTGCACACCCAAGCCGCTCCCTGCAGCCTTGGACCAGCGCTGGCCCTGATTATGGCTGAGGAGAACAATCTATCCCCCGGTCAGGTAATTAGGCTGTGTCAGTGGAGCCATGTCTCGGATGTCTGCACCAAAAGTCAGTAATGAGCCGACCCCCCCATCCTTTCACCCCCAGTCCTTTATCCTTGGTTCTTTCACTGGAATAAAACAGGGAAAGGAGGGAGGGTAAAAGGAGACAAGGCATAGAAAATTTACACATAATAGAAAAAGTGAAGAATTTTTTACATTTGAAAAACCTGCAAGAGTTGGTGCTCTGATGTCCAATAATCAGCAGAGCAAGTCCACATTAAATCAACACACGGCTTCCTTTCAGACTAAAATGGGTCCACTGCAAACTTTGGTTCATGCAGTCAACAGACGATTATAGCTGAGTTAATCTTGCTGTCGTTTTCAGGTGGACTCCGTTTGTTATGGAGGCCAAATGAGTTGAGAATCCACTGCTAACAATATTAAGTTGCCATTGGAAAGGATTTTTTTAACAGTCTTGACAGAAGATGCCAATAAAAATATTCAACCCCAATTGGAGAAGAAATGCTGGAATTTTCTAAATTTTTCCTGCTTTTTCTTGTCATCTCTGCCATCAGTGGCTGTTTGCCATCTGAGCACAGCTGCACAGAGGCAGCAGCAGCCAAGATCACTGGCTGGTTAGGAAATTGGTGGCAGCCGAGTTAGATTTGTAGGCAGCCAAAATCTCAGTAAAGAACGGATATCCTCCAAAGTCGAGTGCATGCAGATTAGTCCGCATGTGGTTTTGGAAATTTGAAAGCAAAGGGTGAAACGGTGCTTTGATTCAGTCTGAACAGTCCTGTTCATAATGTGATTTCATAAAATGACAGGAAGTGCTAAAAGCTCTAGTCATAACAAAGCTGGAGTCTAAAAACTTGAAAATGTTTCATCTTTCACCTAAATATATTGAAACATTTATAATAATAGTAATTTATAGTAATATATCCCAAAAATCTATGTGCTACATGGAAACTTATACATTATTTGCACAAAAAGTCATATATTTAAAGCATACATTTCTCTTAGTGTTGATGGTTATGGCTGACAGATTAAAAGTAAGATTTAATTTTTCATGAAGCCAATAAAAAAGGATGTATAATAAAAAGATGCTAACCCAGTGAAATGCACACCCATGTATTATTTAATATATTTACTCAACATTTGAAATTATTTTTTTAATGATTTCTCATCTATTAAGATATGCAATGCATGTTCTGATTTGCAGTTGGATGGTGCAGCTCTTCTTTCTTTGAATCTGGCCAAACCTATTAGTCCTCCAAAACCCTGACATGAATTGAAAAGAATTGCATTGGTAAAAATGTGACCAAACTTAGCACAAAACCAGTGGTTAGGGAAGTAAGTGTTTTATGATTTAAGTGGGCTGCAGACATCCTGTTAAGATCGTAAATCTATCTTCCCTTAGGTTGTGAGGAAAGATTATCTGGAATAATGAGAGGTGAGTTGTGGGGCACACTCAGGACAGGCTTTCACTCTACACAAGGCCAACATAAAGAGAACACCAAGAACATGAACACCTAAAGGCTAAATTAACGTAAAACGATAAAGATGGAACAGAAATACCAAGGGAAAATAAATGCAGGGAGCGAGAGAAGATCCAATGTCAAAACGGGCATGCAGCTGGGATTAAAGATAGAAAATACTTGAATTCCAATGGCAGCGCGATCTTTCTGTTTCAATTTAACATACATAACTCCTCGTGTTAAACAGAGCCCACATGAGAAAGTTTGAGTTATCCGTAATAAATTCCAGATCCTATGTTTGACATTCCCTGAAGAATAGCTGTATAAAACACATAAAGAGTAAATGTGCCAGAACAGCGCAGTAAACTCTTTCCACAAGTTACACAAGGGAGGATCTTGTGCCTTTCAGCACTATGTAACTTCCAGTTCTCAAGAGAGTGTGTGGGCTTTTGTCATTTTGGAGGATCTGGTTTTGATGAAAGAAACCAGCTTTATAAAAAAAAGAAAATCAGCAGCATTTGTTGCCTGATGTCCTGAGGGGACGTTTCTCCCAGTACGAGGAAGACCTCAACCTCAGCTGAAGCTTTGAACAGCTCACCCAGGCTCTGAGAGACGCTAATTGCTTTTAGACACAAAGATGGAGAACACAAGTCAGTCTCTCCCGTCTTTGTCTGGCCATTTGGTTTGAACTAGATCGTGTGCGAGCAGCTAAAAGCTTTTGATGATCTACCATAAACCATCTCTGCAGGCACTTGTTGACATTACTAGTGGGGAAAGAAAATCCGTCTTCAGCTTCTAAAGCTCAAAGAAGAAATGAACCCCAAGAGACTCCATTTGCTTATTCCCAAAGCAGAGAAGGAGAGATTTACATCTGACAATGTCTTAGAAAAGTATTCACACCTCCTGCGCTTAATCCAATTTGTGTCAAAATATAAAACACATCTTTACAGAACTTTATCTAAATAACGACTCCCGGGAAGTGCACAACCAGTTTGCTAAGAGATTCTCCTACATGTGTTCTGCATATCTGCAGCTCTTCCAGACATACTATGGTTGATTTTCTTCCACTTTGCTCTACTTTGTGCTGGGTATCATATAAAATTCAGATAAAAAAATAGATTCACATGACCATCTGTGGAATATTTCACAGTTGCAGACATTGTTCCAACTATAAAATTTCAAAGGTTCAATAATTTGAGATATCATTAACGTATGTTGTTTAATCTGGGTCCAGCTTGGCAGCTGTAGAGCGTCACGTTTGTTTATCAGATAGATCTGACGACAGATGTCATCATCATCGCAGTAACTAACCCTTCAGTTGCATCTTCCTATCAGTAGTCAGAGATAAGCTGAGATCAGAGCCTCTAATAAAACAGCTTATCTTGTGAATAAACAATTTAAAAGGTAAAACCTGTACCCATGACACTAAGGTCAAAAAAATTTAAATGCCAGTCACAGCTCTAACAAACCAAGGACAGATGAAGAGTTACAGTCAGAGGATGGTGCAGCTATTTGAATATGTCCTTGAGGAAGAGGTCAGCAGCTTAATGCTGGGATGACCTCTGACTTCAGATCAGTCAGCCTCCTTGAATACCAAGCAATGAGAGGTCAGCACTCCCGCCGAGGCTCTGAGTCATGTGCTTTCTTTAAGGCTTCATCACCTTCATCACCAGGAAATTGAACATTAGTAATGGTTAATCTGATAAGATCTTTTTTTATTTGGTTAAGTATATAGAGCACGCATGCAACTTATTTTCCTGTTTTGTTTGGGTTTTTTTTATCCTCAATAATACCTTGTAAATGGTGTAGTGCATGTATGACAACATCTAAATAGATTACTATCCAAAAGTCCACTTTTTATACTTGCTTTATGTCAGGTTACAACCACAACAATAAGTGCATTTTATTGGGATTCTGTAAAGATCAAAGTAATGCAACATAATGCATATTTCTGAAGTAAAAAACTCATAAAACACATATTTTCGACCAATCCAAAAACTAATGTGTGTCGTTGTACTCATCACACTTACTCTGATATCCTTAAATAAAATAAAGTGGACGAAACTGATTTTAGAAGCCCCCCTATTAGTTTTTCGAGAATGTTTGTGCAACGTCGACACACAGTACACTATTCTGGTGTTGGCAGCATCCTGTTGTGAGACTACTGTTCCTTTGCAGGTAACGGAAATCATTATTTTAGCTGTGACAGGTGGTTTAACAAGACTAACTAAGAAAGTGTGAATGCAATTGACATAAACCTTATATTCTTCAATTTCAGCAAGAAGTTGTTAGTGCATTACATAAGACTGATGTGCAGTTGGTTTGAAACCTGAAATTAGCATTTAAGGATGTACAGTAAATGGGTGTAAATATATGTAAATGGTAAAGTGTTGCATTCTTAAGGTTAGAATAGAAGTCTTCTTCCTCAGACATCATGAAATCACTGATAAATTGTGCTTTTAATAAAATAAACTTCTAGAGCTGTAAGTGAAGCACACACCTGTTTAGGCTGAGGTGGAAAGTTATTCACTCTAGAGATGCTCCACATCCCATCGAGGTACTGCTGTGCCTGGATGGTGACGGTGCTCAGAGATCCAGCCATCTGCCCTCCTGCCACTGTCACCTGCACACTGGTTTTGGACCCCGAAGAGGCAGAGGGGCTCTGGGCCAAGCCTGGTACTCTGTGTCGCTCCCCCAAAGGCAGCACAGAGCAAGTAGTCGTCTGTTCTTTTACTAACTGTTTGGCATGAACACGGGATGCTGACAGGGTGAGTTTGGATGGCTTTTGCTGAATGGATGCAATAGGCAATGCTGCCATCTCTGAGCTGAACGTGAGGATAGGAGAGTGGAGCGCCTGCAAGGCCTCCCTCCTTAGCTGATGGAGAGGAGTGGAGCACTTTTGGCAGCATTCAGGTTCATGACTTCCAAGTGTTTGGAGCTGATCGAACAGGAAGGTTGCATATCCAGGGTCCTGATGAGAAAAAAAAAAAGATATATAAGTTCAGTTAGCAAATAATGGTCTGCATTTGACTTAAAGCTGTTCATAACTTTTATAAAGCCTGTTTTCATCCAACTTGTTTTTCAATGATTAGAGCTGCACTGAGAAATCAGATGATGACCCCATTTGGTCGATTTTCCAGCTTGACGTGTAAGAGCACGGTTTAAAAGTCAGATATCTGGTCTTTTTTATTGAATTCAATTTAATTTAGCTTCAATTTCTTTCATAAACAGAGAATGTAGCAGAACCAAATCGATTTCTGTCCAAGTTTAAGGTGCATCTAGCACATACAACCAAGTACACAGAATAATATAACTCAAATACCCTACGGTATGCACATTAATATTATTGAAGAATAAGAATAACATTAGCAAATAAGCCTACAAGGAAGCTATAATGTGAAAAGATAATTTGCCAATAAATAGAAAATCTGACAGAATCATTAGAAAAACAGATGACCTGAAATCACCCAAGCAGCAAAGGGAAAACTCCATATAACTGAATAAGAAATCACAGACAGCATCTAATGAACTGACCAAGATGCAAGTTTGGGCAATTTTGACCGAAATTGCTAATGCACAGTGAACGCATCTAAGTGCTTCGACATTAAGGGTCAGCTGCTCACTTTGACTCACTCCCCACTCGTGGAAGCAAGGATAGAAAACAACACTTAGCTATAAGTTACACTTTTCTGCATTATATATTATTAAAGAGAAATAGGATTTCACAAAATTGGTGTCGTCAGGTACAGATAAGAAAATAGAGTTTTGAAAATTGGATCATTTCAATGTATGGTTTGAATGAAATTTGAATGCATTTATTTTCCAGAAAGACTAAATGTTTAAAGACAATAAAATATACATGCAAATGATTGGTGAAACATTGCAAAGAATAAGTCAGCAAAGCTTGTGCTTATTACTGCTTGCAGAGATGGAGATTTTTGTCTTTTCACTTTGTCTCTAAGAACACTCCCCAGGGTGTCCATCTCTGCTTGGAAAGAGTAATAAAGAAAAAGACAGCTGAGGGGACTCCAGTACCCAGAGCTATATAATTTACATATGATAAGTCGCCCAGCATGAAAACATATGATAAGCAACAAAATAACTGAAAGTAACCAACTCTGCTAGTAAGCAGGAGACGTACAGAACAATCCTTGAATAATTCAAAACATAACTAAGGAGGAAACATAACTTTGTGTCTACTTTAGGGAAATAAACACACACACACACCATCTGACAAGATCGGTCTCTTAAGAGGCATAAAGTGGCACTATAGGCTGCTGCCCTGTGAAGTCCTGGTCGAAGGCAGGAGCTCACGGCCCACATATAAATGTTTATGAGACCTTTGCTCCTCAGAAACTCTGTGGTGATCAGGAGGAGAAAAGCAGTGGGGAAAAACAACAATCTACTGCTCTAATGCAGTGCCACTTAATACAGCTAACCCGACAGGCGCAGAGAGAAAAGAGGCCGGCCGAGGGACTCTAAATCAGCTCCTGGTGAAGGCAGCTCAATACGCTGACTGTCCTGCTAACACCAGCCTTATGAGACATAATGGACACATATCAGTAATGCTCCTCTCTGACTGCCAAACTCCTGCTAAATTGAGCTTTAAAGCTTAGCCACTGTGAGGTTTACATAAAAGATAATAAGGCGTGAAGTCAAAACTAGTCAGGCCTAATGTTAACTAAGTGGGTCAGGTTAATTATTTACTAAGTTGCTTACGTTACGCATGAACAAGTATGGACAGTTTGGAAACAACAAAGAAATGTCTCGTTTATTCTAACTGTAAACAGTCTAACAGCTGTCTAATGTAGCACAGACTCGTACAGACAGTAATGCTCCAGTATCAGTCTAAATGTTGCATTTAAAGTTAAACGGTGGGGGAAGCCTAATAAGATGTTAACATACATTACAGAAATTAAACATATTATATTTATTTGTAGATTTTTAAACTGTAGAACTGTTCTTTTGACCTTAAAATGCATCAAGTATTTTCTTTATCCTGCACAGAGGTGTATACACATAATAGCACACGTCTAGATAAATGCACCCCAACAAAGGGAGTGCAGTTTTTTTTACTTATCAGCTGTTCTAGCAATTCTGGCTCAATATCTAGCCATTTCAATTATTGACATTCCAGCCACTAACTGAACTTTGAAACACAGTCCTGCTTTATTTCAGGAGAGACTTGATGTCAGCCTGTTTTATCAATTTAATACTGAGTTTGGATCGCTTATCAGTTGAATAATTTCCAATTCTCTCTCATTTTGCTTTAACTGTGCCTTTTAGAAGAAAGAAAATGTTTCAAAGCTCTAAAGCAACCCAGACTGCAATAAGACTGAAGGCCATCATACAGCTGTTAATATAGACAAGACAAAAGCCTTCTGGAAAAAAGTTGTGTGATTAAATAAGACACTAACTGAGCCACAAGGCCTCAATAATGAAAACTACACAACAATAACCCACTGACCATTTTATGAGTGGAAATATGTCAAACAGATGTCAGGTTTTAATGGTTTGTTAGCAGTTTTAATGCAGACGTTTTAGAAGAGATCTGATGCTGTTTAAAGCAGCAAAACCACATACCTATACAAATCATTACACGCAAAATATAGAAGTCCAGGACATTTGATCTGTTTTTGTCTTTGTGTTTTTATCATTCTTGTACAATTGCCTGGTTTTTTTTGTTGTTGTAAGAAACAGAAATGAAACTTGATTCCTCTACTGCTGTGGCTTAACGGCATAATTTCAAGGGTTTAGCAGTGTAGCCGGTGTACGACAGAGTAAAAGTTCTGCAGGGGAGATTATGTGGATGAGGTAACATTTAGCTTTTTGATAAAAACAACTCTTAACTGCGGAGGTATTGACAGAAATATGTTGTTTAGGAGCCTGTACATCTGTTGTTGTCCAATCTCCTAATATTAACTGTTAACTAGGATTGTGTCTTTTTTAACTCAGAGAGGATAGCTTAACACAAGCAGGACAGGTTGACTGACAGAAGATGAAGCGGTTTATTACAAAGCAGAATGCGATGTGATGCAGTCATAGAAAACGCCGCTGGCAGCTATTCCAACAGCTGGCCTCGCTTCATTTCCACATTTCCTCATACAGGATATTGAAGGAAAGTCATAACTAACAAGCTCCACCCCTTCACCCTTTACCTTAAGACCACTCCTTTACCCACTCGGGGGACTGGTAGATGAAATCAATGCCCGTCTTCCTCTTCATGCTTTGTTAGGCATTGATTTAAGGGAGCAGTAAAACTGAAACACAAAGCTAAGCCCATCTGTTATTCAGTTTGGCTCCTGGAGGTTAGAGAGCGGGTCCTCTCCTGTAAAGCTGTCCATAAGCTTTATGCCCAGCAGTGTGAAGAAAGGGTCACGGCCACAAGGAAGGATAGGTGGCACAGATGATTAGGATGATGATGATGATGTTGAAGGGAATGATGTGATTAGACTGAAGGCCACAGAGGTGAAGAAAAGTGATATAGAGCTTCAAGAGTGGTACATATTACACATAGTAGAGGTAGCAGCAACTGCAGCTCTGGGTATAAAAATATTTCACGCACTACTGTACTGTGGAAAAATATTTCTCCTTTAAATAAATCCCTTCTGATTTTACTTTAATGTCACACTAAAAGGCTTGATGAGAAAAAAAAAACATTGAAAGACTGGTAGTAATCTGAACAAATGTTGCTATTGTTTCCAAAAAACGTCACGTTTTTCAAGATTAAATGGGGGCTGGTTAATTTTTTACATAGTGCAAGGTTAGATTAGACTTTAGTTTAAGACTAATTTATCATGTCCCCAAATGGGACGTTTGCAACAAGTAGTAGCAGCCATTACACAATCAAACAAACTATTCAAATAAAAAGTGAAGAGCCAGTTGATATGAGGTTTGGCCAACTTTTTAGGTTTAACTTTGAAATTGCAGTTTGAAAACAGCATTTTGTATTTATTCGGGTTATTTTTACCTAACGATAAAACAGACTTGTACTATAGCCAGAAGCTTAAACACTCTCCTCGTACATTGTTAGTATCATACCTCACCTAAATGCTTGAGAGCTTATCCGTAAGCATAAAGTAGAAGCATGAAGCATATGATGCATGAGTGCACAAGCCCTGAAGCCATATTGTTTCTTTTATTATCCCTTTGATATATTACTGACAGGTGCAAGTGGGTGTGAAGGGTAGCATCGCTTCACAGAGGTATGTAATGCAGAGCTCCGGCACTGTCCAAAAGCTCAAAGCATTCTCTGTGAAAGGCGTGGAACCACTGCAGGTCTCCTCTGCCGTTGTTAATGCTGGAGCTGGTTTTAGTTTTCCAGCTTGCGGTCTCTAACTGTGGAGAGTGTTAAAATGCATCATAAGAGGGCAGGGAGGCGGGAGGAGCCAGGCCGGGGGTTATGGCCCTTGCCTGGAGGCTTGTGGATGGTTGTGTTGGTTTACTGCCTGTCAGTGCAGATCTTTATTAAACTCTGGGGACAAATGTAGTCAGATGCTGTGGCCTTATTATGGAAACGAGCTGCACTGAGCTCTGTGGAGAGAAAAAGACCATCCGGTGGAGTAAACCTGTCACGGCCCTTGGAGACTAGAGTTTGTCTTCGTCCCTCACACTAACTGATGAAAACCAGGGCGGCAGCAGCAGCAAGAGAAACGAGCCACCAAGCCAACTGTCTCTGTGGGTTGATGGAGAGTGTCATCACAGACAGGCCATGCCCGGAGGCTGATGGAAACAAGTTCAGCCGTAACCACTTATGGAAGAGAGAGCAGGGAGAGAGATGTGCGTGATTTCTCCTCCGTGTGTCCTTGGTGTGCAAACAGATCTGAAATCACACCTCATTTACCTGGTCTCCTCACTGCACCCTTTCTCTAACCAGACAAAGCAAAGAACCGCCATCTAACTGTTTCTACATTCAGTGTTTGATGTAGCACTGATGTGGAGCGCCGGGCCAGTTCCAACCAGCTGACCTAA